TAAGATGTTGATCATAACTGCTAAGTTCTGGTGACCATGTAGAACCTCCTGTAAAGCCCAGCCCCATATCCATGTGTAAAAGTAGAAGAGTAGAAGAGAAAAGTAGAAGCAAAGCAAGTAAATAGAAGAAGAAAAGTGTTAATAAATCATTCAAAAATGGTAAAATAATGATTATCTTTTATTTTATATCTTAAAATGTATACTTTATATTTCTAGCATTATAATTTTTTCATTTTCATATTTACATAATTCAGAAATCAAATAATGAGATTTTAACTAATATATATTTATTTCTATAAATAAATATGCATTCTAACAGTATACATTAAACATGCCAAGCAGCATCTTACTTAAAAATATTACAAAATCTCATTCATAATTTATTCATGCTTACAAAAAACTTAACTAATATAATAACACTGAAATTCCAATCATTTTGCATTATCATAGTGCAATAAATTGTTAATATGTTAATATGATTAGTTTTTAAATATAATTATTGTTAGTTACTAAATACCTTTTTAACAAATTTGTTCATGGATTATGGCTCTGCTTAGCAGACACTGATTCAAATGTTATATAGGATCAGTTTACCTTAATATTACCATCTTCTTCTTTGAATTCAACGTAGTCCAAGCCATTTGTGCCATAACTGATAACATATTCCATAACATACTCATTTTGTACTGCTCGACCTTGGGTCGCCACAGCTGTGATGTTCATTATTTGACCCAAGTCGATGATAAAGTACTGACCAAAGTCTGAACTGCTAGCTGTCCATGCGCTTCCGCCTATGCCACAATATATATGCATGCATGCAACTCAAAAATGAACTTAAGAAAGCAGTCATACTTAACAAGATAGAACTACCAGAGAATTAAATACTACTACAATTATTTTGTAATGAATTTAAAATATTTATAATATAAGTAAAATAATATTAAATCTATTTATGAAGATATATAAGTAATATATATAGTATAGTATAGTATATAGTATAATATATTTAATATTTATGTTATATTTTTAAAAGTTTTTTAGAATAAATAAAATAATTACAAGCAATATTTTTTTAAAAAATGCATATGTAAGTTGAAGAAATACAATGTTATTTATAAAAAATTACCTTTCCCAAAAGCAGAAAAGAAATTAAATATAATAGGTTTATATATGTATATAAAATAAATAAATAAAAAATTATATTTTTTTTTATGTTTTGTTATAAATTGAATTTATACATATATATTTAATCGGAAAATTATATTAAAATTTTATTAAAGTAAAACTTTAATTAACACATTGTCTGCCCATATCATGCCAATTATATATATTTAGTACTAATATATTTTGTAATGATAATGAACAATAAAATATTTAGTTAATCAATATTTTTTTAATACATTTAAAAAGATTTTCTATTTAATGTAGAGAATAATTTAATACTAACTTAAATTAAAAATTTTTCTTCATATACAAAATTAAAAATTACAATTATAACAATATTAACTATCCTATAAAAAGGTAAAATAAAATTTGCACACATATTTCTAACTATCTTTATTAGAGACTCACTAACTAAAATAAAAATGTTATATCTGTACATCTTTATTTCATATATATAAATATACTCATAAAAAAAATATACAAAATCTAAGTTTAAGTTAAGTAAGTTTCGAATTTTCTTTTTTTTCAAAATATTTTTGTGTATATTCAAGATCTTGTGGAAACAATGGAACAGTGCTTACTAAGAGTTTATCATTGCTTATAATGTCAAATGTTTTCTTTTGTGATTTTGGCGCTTTTCCATTTTCTTGTAATGCTACAGCTACACAATGATGTGAATTTAACAATGTTTCCTCAAACAACCAATCTTGTTTTATACCATTTATGTATAAAGCTGTATCGATTGTTATAGAATTTTCAAATAATTCTGAATTGGTTTCAAATGAAAATGTTCTAAGATCACTTACAATACCGATGCCTAAAGCCTTCACATAGCTTTCTTTTAATGCCCAATGTCTACAAAACATATCGATTTGTTCAGATTCGTCTAAAGACAAATTTTTTATCTCTTTCCATTCTGAAGATGAAAAATTTCGATTCATTATACGGAAAAATTCAGATAACTGTTTACCACCAGTATATTCAAATTTCATTACATCTATTCCTAATTTTACATTCCTTGTTTCACCTGCTAAAACTGTATAATTACCCTGATGAGATACATTAAAACTTAAATTTGAAGAAATATTTTTTAAAATAGGCTTATTATTTGCATCTCTTACAAATATTATATTGGAATATGGAATATGTCCATATTCGTTAACAAATTTTCTCATCATTAATCTACCTACAAGAGAAGCCCTAACATCTTTGCGAAATACAAATTTGCCTAATCTTTCTTTCTCTTCTAATTGTATACAAGAAATAGCATAAGTAAAGTCCTTCTCATTAGGATTCCATTCCTTCCAATTGAAAGCCCATCGAATACTTTGAAACATGTTTTCTAATATTAACTTTTAACTTTGATCTGTTAATAAATTAATGTTCCAGAAATTGTTATTTACTTCTTTTTGTTAAAGCACTGCTTTTTTAAGGATCTTGTCTTTTAAAAAACCAGGCTACTCTTTAGCATCCACCTGAAGCAAATAGATAAGAAATTCTATTATTTTTTTTTTTTTTAATGAGTAACAATATTTACTTTTATTTATTTATTAATTTAATTTATAAATTAATTGTTTGAGAAATAAATATTTATTGCTTAAGAAGAAATTAGATGTACAGAATAACTATGCAATGAGTCAGTGAGTTCAATTTATATAATTTAGACCTAAAATTCTTTTAATTGACTGAGAAATGTGGGTGTTGATGAGAATAATATTTCTTTAACTGAAGTTTTTTATTAAAATATTTTATATATTAATATATTTATATATAATATTTTATTTATATTGTTGTTAAATTTAATTATAAATAAAAATAAAAAAAGCAATCTTAATAACATATATACTTAATTACATATTTCTTCAAAATATAACATAGCAAGCAACAAACTACTGTATATCAAATATATTTATACAAGAAAATAATATAAGAAACATTGAATAAGTATTTTAAAAAAAAGTGCAATATATTCTATGAAAAAATAAAAGAAATTTTACCATTGAGCCTGGCATTTTTTGGACCTCTGTTAGGTAATGAAGTAGTGGCCGTTAAGTGAGCTCTGTCCAAAAGTGGTTCATTACATTCATCATCTAATAAAAAAAATCACAATGAAATTAATAATATAATTTACATACACATTATTAATATCAATAAAATTCTTCAGTAATTGTAAATTCAATACAATATTTTTGTTTTGTTTTACAAAAGACATTTATCGATTTAATAATACAATTAAAGAATTTTATTTTATGTAATGAATATATGTTTAATATATTCATTATATATGTTTAATAATTGTATCATGCTTATTTATTAACATATATTTAATAAACATTATAAAGCAATTAATATATAATTATAATGTACTGATTTTGTAGAATTTTAATTTTTAAATTGCATACGGATTCACATATTAGATAAATTAGAAGCTAAAATATATTCATTTATCAGCAAGTCTGTTAAATTCTACTGCGCCATGTTGTAAAATGGGCTTGGCTTCATTGAATCATCATGAAAATTTTTTCTTTTCCGAAAAAAAATTTTAAATTATTAATAATAAGTTTTACTTACATGCAAAAGTAAATGAATTATATATAATTGCGAACACGAATACAAAACACTTAATAGTATTCATCGTATCATTGCCCTTTTAGAGAGCAACATACGACAATATATTCCTAAGCAAGACGCGTCGTTGAAACTGTTACTGATTCTCTTGTATTCTTGTATTACTCTTACGTAGGTACACTACTACGAAAAGCTTTACTTACATATAGTCACACATATATATTCAACTATACTATATTAGTTATTTAAAGTGACTTATTGAATATATTTCAATTAAAATTTAAACAAAATAATTTTTACATTAATATAATTTAATGTAAGTTAAATTTATATAAAATTTATACAATTTAAAATATATATAGCAAAATTCTATCTTAATTTTATGATATATTAAATTTTTCATTATTCTTATAAATTAAAACTTTCATTAAGATTTTAAAAAAAAATATTTATAGAATTTGTTTTTTTTTTTATATATTTGTATTACATATTATATTTAAGATTTAAAAATAATGGAGAAAGTTATTAATGATCGATAACATCATAAATATATATTTATGATATGAATTATAACATAATAAGAAACAAAAGTTTTATATAATTAAAAACATTGTTAAAATATATTATTAGATCATTAATAAATCATTAGTTAATTGCTGTGCTTTTTGCTTTATCCGTTTTGATTTGTATACTTGTGTCGACCTCTGTTGGTTATTAATATAAATGAAGTACAAAAATATAAAACAATTCAAAATTATTTAATTTTTATACAATATTTTTCGATGTCACTAACAATTTTTTAAATTTGATAGAATTAATTCAATTAGAATATCATCTGTAATTCATTAAACATCTGTAATTCATTAAACATCTGTAATTCAATTTAAATTTTCGTAAAATCTTTCTAAATAAAGAGAGAGAGAAAGAGAGATATTTTTTAATAATTTCTTTTTCTGAATAGTTTAATTAATATTAATATAAATCATTGATTTTAATATTAGATATAAATTAAATTAGCTTTAATAAATAAATGTGAGAAATTTAAAAGTGACAAATTTTAAGAAAAGAGGTTAAAATTCAAAGATTCTTTGTAATTTTCTAACCAATAAGGTAAGATATAGAAATAGATATATTCACTATTTTGAAAAAATGAATATATATATATATATATAAACATAAAACGAATATGAAATGAATATGAATATAGAAAAAAAATGAACATTTGAAAATAATTTAATGTCATTAATATCATTTTTCTATTATGTTTATAATTATTAATTAAAATGGCTGACGAATTTGAAAGACAGAACGAAAAAAAAGAAAAAAATGAACAATCTAATCAAAATAACAAATCTATACAAAATGAATATGATAAACAATCTGAAGAAGAAGATAGATATTCGATTGAAATACAAGAACCAGCATCAGTAGAAGATATTTACAATAATGATTATGTAGAACATGAAGATTATGAATATGTATCGAAACCTGAAAAGAGGGAAGAAGAAGAAGAAGAAGAAAAATGTTGGTTTCTATTTCGTTATAAAATTAAAGCTAATTATATATTAAAATATATCGTTTTCTTAAGAAAACATATTTAAAATTATGATCTTAAAAATGATTTTTAATATTTTTAATGCGTAAAAATATTTATACGATTTATATTATTCGAAAATAATAAAATTCCTAAAATAAAATTTTGATAATATAGATATATCATAAGTTTAAAAATTTGAATATTTATAGATATTTATGTATTTATTTATATAGAAATAGATTTTATATTAAAATTATCTATTTGCTATTATATTATATGTAAGATGTTAATATATTTATGAAACTTTTAGTCAATTCTAGAGACAATTCTAAAAAGAAAATAAACATAAAATTTAGTACAAAATCGATATATATATATTATACAAAAATCGATTATTTATTAAGTTATAACCAATTTAAGTAATTTTAATTTTAATTTTAAATGTTGAAGCAAAATAGAACATAACGATAGTGAAATGGAAGTAGAATGATCTTTCTTTATTTTCATCCTTTATGAATGATAAAAAATATTAAAAAAAAAAAAAGGATCCAAGATTTTAAGAGTTTATAATACTTATCAAGAAAAATTTACATTGAATGTAAATAAGGAAATTGATTCAGGAGAATATTAATTGAAGTTTTCAACATATTAATTAATAGACTAACATTAACAACTAATATTAATAGATATTATTTTATAGATACGAAAAAAATAAAAACATTTGGTAAGATTATACAAAAAATACATATTTGTTATTTTTATGTTTGAATAAAAAACATAAATTAATCGGAGAGTCGAGAATAACTCTTTTCAATATTAAATGAATTGAAATGAAATTGAAAATTTATACTTCGTTTGCGTAATGAATTGATTTCTATTAATTAATATTAGTAATAATTATGTTGATGAACTTAAATTAATGTATTTTTGAATCGATCTTTTTAATTATATTCAATAAAGAAATTTATGACATCGAATGTTCATCAATGGTAAAAATTAATTTTATATTGAAAGGTCTGATTAACTTATTTATATTATATATTATATATTATATATAATAATATTATATATATTAATTATATATTATATATAATAATATTATATATATTAATTATATATTATATATAATAATATTATATATATTAATTATATATATATTATTATATATAATAAAAAATTAATTAGCAATGAATATTTTAATTAATTATAAACAATTTCACGAAATATTATTAACCTCATAATATCTATATTAATTATACTTTTTTTATTTTTTTATTTTTGATATTAATAGATTTATTTCAATCAATTTATTACAAAAAATTACAACAGATAAACTATTATAAAAATCATTTATTTTATTTAAAGATATTCCTGAAGTCGTAGATTGGGAAAAAGAAGCAAAAGAATCGGTACGCATAGATACAAGTACAATTAAAGAAAGGCAAAAAACAATTTATGAATTAGATTCTTTTTCCGCTTCTGGTATAGGAGCCGAAGAAATTTTGCAACTTGCTTCAAAAGATTTTATACGAGAGCCATTGAAAGAAATTCGTTATTCTACAACATTGGTAAATTACTTATATAACAATATGATATTATCAAATTTTTAATTATTCTTATTCAAACCTGTTATGATTTGCATATTAAAATCTATTTATTTACATTAATTCATAACATGCCAGTTTAACATAACTTGAGTCTTCTAATGATAATTGAAAATTTTTTTATGAATTTTTTTTATTTTAAAATATTTTATTTATATTATTAATGTTAAAAAGCACTTTTGTTAAACATAGTTGTTTAACAAAATTGTTTAATGTAATTATTGATTATAATGTAATTTTTGGAATATAGTTGGAATAGATTTAAAATGTTAGATTTTAGGGATATCTTCGTAGTTTTTGGATTTAAAATTTTAAGATTTTAAAATTTTAAGTATTTTCCAAATATATACATCTATATCATATATCAAAAAGATAATTAAAAATTAATATTGAATTCATTATTTTATTACCAATAGTTGAAAAACAATTGATTATTCCGTTAAAAAGAATATAAAAATCTTTGAAACATTGAGATGGCATATGATATATATAAAAAAGAGAAACACTGTCTTACATAAAATAATTTGTTCTTTTATATTAAAAATGCTTTTAGTTCTATAGATATTCTATAGATATAAAAAGATTAATCAAATCAATTGTTTTAAACATGTTATTTGTTATAATATATGTTATAATATTATATATATATATATATAATATTATATATATTATATATATATTATATACATGTATAATTATTTGTTTAATTGTAATTTAATAATTTAATTGTAATATTTGTAATTGTAAAATAAAAATTGATTTATCAAATCATAAATTTTCTGTCTTAGGGTATTCCAGGCATAGCAAGAATTAATTTATCACCAATTACACAAAAAATAGTTGGTTGTGTCATAGGAGAAAATGTCAGTACTGAATATCCTTGGGTATATGTCAGGAAAAAGATCATTGAAGACAATATAGATCTTCATGAAGAGAGCAGTGATTTTTTACCCGTAAAAGATGAGATATACAAGTTTCCAAACTCGAAAATGTTAATTGGTTACGTCCCATCGCTAACCGAAGAAGGTCAATTCTACATATGTCTGACCGAAGAAGGTCGTGATGCGATAGTCGAATATATTCAAAAGGAGAGAGAAGATCATGAGAATCGCGTGAGAACTGCTGTGTACAAACCAATTGGAAAATGGAAAGAATTAACTAGCAGTGTGGAAATTGATTCAATGATCGTTAAGAATACTAGACCGCTTTTGGAAATTGAGGTAAAAAATAGTCAATAAAATACAGAAACAGATGAAAATGCAATAGTATATCTTTGTTACACAAAAAATAGAAGAATTGAAAAAGAAATTTCATTTTGCAAAACTGCATTAATTTTTAATTTTCAAAAAATTTCAAAAAATATATGAAAAATAATTTTACATCTGAAATATCTATTAATTTCAGAATCCTGAATATAATTTTTTTTTATTGTTTTTTTATTAGTGTAATTTTTATATTCAATGACATTTATATTTTTATACGTAAAAATTATAATAAAAAATAATAAAATTCTTAATTGTGTATTTCTTTAAATTATTATGTGATTATATATTTGTTCATATTTTATTTTATTTTTTACATTATTATCTATATTTTTTGCTGTATAATTAGATATAATTAATAAATATAATAATAAAATATTTCATTAATGATTTACTTTAGTTAGTAAGTACTGCGGACGTACTGAATGCACCAATACACTTCGAAGATAGAAAAGTGGATGACGTTAGAGATGGATATATTGAGCTCCTTCCTTATCGTCAAATCTTCGAAAATATTCCACGTAAATTATTATACAATGAAACTCAAATTACTCCAGAATATCGAACTGTAAAAATTCAAACAGAACTTTCGGTACCCATAAATCGTTGGGTCCAATATGAATATACATATCAACGTCCAGATATTAAAAAATTTACCCCGGAAGAACAAGAATCTTTGAAACTTTTTCTTCGTTATTTCACCGATTATATATGTGATCAAGTTAGTTTATATATATTTTAACGTGAAAACATTAATTAAATATTATAATATATATGGTTAATTACAATCATTCAACTTTACTACATTCTCTAGTAAGGTTTTAATAATTAATATTTAATATTACATTCTAGTTATTGGTAAATGCTACTTGGGATATTTATTGTAATGACTATGAAGATTTGGTGAAAAATATAAGAGATACTCAATGTCCTATACCTATAACCTATAAAGAATATTTAAGTTTCCATGATGAGAAACACGTGGTTAATAAAGTTATTAATGATCTTACCTGGCATCCATTCTGGACTGGAATAATGTTTACTGCTTATACAAGCTTCGCAAAGAGCCAACATTTAATTGGTCCTAAATCGGATGAAGAAGTGAATAATTTAAAACAGAGAAATAAAAATTTTTTTTCTTTCAAATCATAATTAAAATTTTCATTGCAGATTATTAAAGCCTATGATAATAATTACGCTCTCGTATGGTCTTTCAACGATTCTTTGATGCCAAAATTAGTGCTTGAATGTCCAAGAGAAGTAACATCCGTGACTGTGAGTCCATTGGATGGAAATTTGGTCGTCGGTGGTTGTGCGAATGGCCAATTAAGTATTAAAAATCTAAAAAACTAATAAAAATATTCATTACGGACAATAAATTCAGAGTGTCATATTAAAAAAAATAATAATAATAAATGCAATAATTTTATCGAGAAAAAAAATTGTTAAGATATAATTTTATTATTCTATGTAATATTTAAAACTTTCTTCTTCAATTAATGTAAATTCATCTTGATTTTTTTTTTTTTTCATAAAAATATAAATAGCAGGAAAATTAAATTCTCATTTGCTCAAAAATTGTTTAAATATCAGTTTTTATATACGAAATAATTAAAAGATATTTAAAAATTGATAGGTCGTAATATGGCATATTCCTGGAAAAATCGAAGCAGTAGAAACAGTAATTGTGCACACCGCAGCTCAAATAAGACATAAAATCATGATAAAAAGTTTGATCACGTGGATGCAAGAAGCGCTTAAAATTTCCTTAATCAGACCAACTGCGATGTCTTCATTAAAGGAGAGTCAGAAAGCGGCTGTGACCCAAATTGCATGGATTCCACCATATAACAGTATAGATTCGAGTGGCAGAATTACATCATTACCTAAAGATGCGAGTATTGATGATTTATCGTCACAATTTCTTACCGCGAGCCAGGATGGTACGATCGCTTTTTGGAATTTAAAATTAGATGAAAAGTTAGTCTTTTTTTTAAATAAATTCTTTTTATATTACTTATATTACTTATATTAGTAAACAATTTAATTTAAGTTTATAACAAATATTTTATTACTATTACTATTAATGATAGGAATGTTAAAAAATCTAGAGAAAGAAAATTATGATAAACAAAAAATTTCTCCAAAGTTAAATATATTTATCAAATGTCATTATTTATTATATAATATACAAATATTTTTGTAATGCATATTGAAATTACATAATTTTATCTTTTTGTTATAATAATTAAATTCAAAGCCAAATATAAATGTAAATAGATAATAATTTTTTATATTAAAATAGAAAAATTCTGAATATAAATAATGAAATATCTATGATAGATTAGTTTCAATAAATGATTAAAATATTGCATAATTTCAAAATTATTACAAATTATAAATAAACAATTATCTAATTCTTCTTCTATATTATTTAATAATTAAAATATTATTTATTAATTATATTCATCTATTATAAATTCAGAAATTAAATTTATATTTATTATATTATATATAAATTAATCAGAAAATTAATCAAATTATTATTTATTTTAAGATGGATAGCATTAAAAAAGAAGGATACTCGAAAAAGAAAAGAAGCAAAAGTGAAAAGACCAGAAGCATTAGTGGAATCTATATCTCCGTACAAAATATTGGATCGTATTTTCAAGCCTCATTACATTTTGGTGATTCAACATCCGAACGAAAGTCGAAAAGTAGTGATTACTACTATGACTATTTATGTACCAAAATTTGAGAAAGAACGTATAGATGTTATTCCACCTACAGAGGATATAACTATTCGAAGATTTTATAAAAATATAATCGAAAAGCCTGATTTTGAAATGGAAAGAAATATATATATTGGTACTGTTGAAGGTATACAAAAAAAAGTATTTAGGAAAGAAATAAATTATCCTATCCAATCAAATATTTGATTTATTGAAAATCAAACAAGTCAAATCAAAAAGTCTTTTTATTGATTATAAGATTTTATCATTAGGTGATTTTGGTTGTGTCACATGGGAAGGATATGATTTTACTACGGATTTAACTATTAATACTGAAATATGTCGTTGGATTTGGTATAATAAAATACATGATGGTCCTGTAACACATGCTGTTAGGAATAGACAAGATGCAAATTGGATTGCCACTATAGGTGGAAAAATATATGCCGTTTGGAAAGAAAATTTTGGTTTACCAGTAATGTGGAAGAAGTTAGATATTGGGTATTTCACAGATATTTTTAATATTTAAAAATCTTTTTCTTTCTTTCTCTTGTTATTAAAATTTAATTAATAATATAAAAATTGTATCTTTTATTTTTATATTTACATTCTAATAACTTATTATTCAAAATTTAACTTAAAAGTAATTAATATACTTTATTTTAAATTCTAATTAAAGCTTATATATAAGCATATTTATTTTAGACAAAACAAAAAGTAATAAATATAATTAAAACAGTCTTATTATATTACTCTAAAATTATTATTATTTTTAAGAAATTATTTTTTTTTATTATATTAATCATATTTTTTCTAAATTGTTTATTTATATATATATATTTTTTATTATATATTTTTTATATCGAAATATATCTATTTTTTATATAGACTTACTGCTGTTTCATGGGGTAGTTATCGTCCCACGGTATTAATTTTAACAAGAACAGATGGTACTGTTGAATTATGGGATTTCCAAGTGAAAACAGATAGCCCGTGTGTTACCCAGAGTTTATCAGGTCACATAATTACGGGAATATATCCTCACGATTTAAGATTGGATCCACAATGCATAGGATTTTGCGATTTCAATGGTATCCTAAGAATGTTCCTATCTCCTGGTGATTTTTTGAAAGTAGATTTAAGTGATATGGAGTGGATGATAAATTTCATTCAGCATCAAGTCGCAAGAGTAAATTTATTTTCTTATATTATCTTTAAATAAATTTCATTAATAATAATATTAATAATTAATAATTTCTAATATTTTTTTATAATAATTTATTTATATTAAAAAAAAATTTTTTTTTTAATTTTTCAATAAAAAATTCTTTCTCATATATATAGATTAATTATGAAAAATTACTTTAATAAATATTAGGCACAAAATTGTAAAGAATGGAGAGAGAAATGGTTTCAAGCAAATTATATAGATATTGAAGAGAAAAGATTAGCACAGGAAGCAGAAAAAAAAAAGCAAGAGGAAGAAGAGAAAAGAATTGCCGTTAAAACAATGGAACCCGAAACTACTCTAGAGCCTGTAAAAAAAACATTGGTACATTTCATTTTAATAAATTAACATTAATAAAAAAAAAGAAATGACTGAAAAAAATTATTATATTAATTAAATTAATTAATTAATTCTTAGAAAAGATGGGAAATGATTGAAGATGCGCGCGAAAAATGGAAAGCAAGAGAATTGAAGCATATGCAAGAAGTACTTTTGGAAAAGAAAGGCTTAAAAAAAGATGATCTTGAAAGGCAACGTGAACCCATACTAAAATTACGACAGGAAGCACAAAGGAAAAAGAAACGATTACAGGAGACATTAAAAATGCAAGAAGATATTTTCGAGCATACCAAGAATCTTTTCTTCCCTGCAGGTCCTCCCCCAGAGATCAAACCTATCTTACCACCAAAAGAAATTGAGAGAGATTTAATCACTGTAGAAGATACTATACTTGAACAAGAAGTAATGGTATATAAAAGAAAAAAATTACACATATATATAATCTGGATTTCATTGAAGTTACATGAAAAAAAAATAAGTCGAAAATATAAAGTATTTCAATTTTCATTATATTTTTATCTATAAATTTTATCTATAAATTAAGTTAGCAAAATACAATATATTTTAATAGAAAGAAGATTTTCAATAACTTTTACAATAATTTTTTATAATAATCGAAAGAAAATTTTTGAAAAAAAATAATTATTTCTATTTTATAAATTATAATAAAAAAAATTAAAAAAAGCATGAATAAAAATATAATTATTGTATAACTGATACATTCATGTATGATAATCGAATATTAAATTTAAATGTACATATACTCTAAGAATATTTAAAATTATTCGGAAATAATTTTATATGAAAAAAATTAATTTATATTTTCGATTTATTTTTTATTTATTTTTTACTTTTTAAGTATCATCAAATAATTCAATGATTTTAAATAAAATTTTAAATTAATTTTCATTCACAATTTTTTTTTTTTTAATGAATTCTAAGGACATTCAAGTTCGAGTTGATCCAAACGAAGAAATCATTAATCATTTTAAGGAAACACAAGCTACAATAATGGCTGAGTTACAAAAGAAACCATTCACTTATACGTTTAATTGGAAACAAATTTTAAGAAAAGGAAAAAGATTTCGTGATACACTGGCTACCAAATTGAGCAAAAAAATTGCAGCAGATATAAGAATATAAAATTCAACAAGCAAATATTTGTTTTAATAAAATGATGTGTTCTAGTAAAATTTTATTAATTTTTTATTCAATCATAGTTAAATTATTAAAAAAAATATTAAAAATAAAAATTTATGTGTTTACATATTCTCTTAAATAATTAAATTAAATTTAAATACGTATAAATACTTTATACATTAAAAATAATTGTATTTAATTTAATTATCATAATAAAAAAATAATGATAATTATTTAATAATTATAAAAAAAAAATTAATGAAATTTTTAATTAAATCAGTTTAATAAGTTTCAATTATATGAAATTAATATAGAAGTTAAATTTAATATGTTATGAGAAATTATTAAACTTTAATTAAAAAAAAATAAAAAGAAAATATTATAAATTTTTAATTATAAATTTAATTGCACGAAATATTATTACATAAATAAATAAGATAATTCACGTTCATATAAGTCAGTTAACAATCACTGTTTCGCAAATATTTAAAATATTTGATATTTTAAATAAAAAAAATTAAAGCAGACAAAAGAGAACAATTTATGTTGTAATTATTCTTATCTTAATAATAATAATAATAATTGATTTTAATATTATTTGAATATACATATTAATCTTACTTTTTTTTTCTTTTGGAATTTATAATTAAATGAAAATTATTTAGAAAATTTTTTCACGGATATTCAATTTATATCTCGAATAATCGTTGCTTAATTTTTAAATTTGTCTAACAATTCTGTATATCTCCTATAATATTGCTCAACATATTGAATTTATAAATCATGTTCTTATATCAAAAAAATATCAAAGAAAAAAAGTGTCGAATTTCGAAAAGATTTTAAACAATTAAATAGAAAAAAAGATACAAGTTGAAATAGAATAGAAATACGAGATATCAAAGTGATCTATATTGATCTATATTGATAATTTTGACAATGATTGTACTTCGTATACATATATATATGTATCGAATAAAATATTCTCTTCTATAGGCAATTGTTATTAATAGCTACCTTTCTTTTGTTTAATGGACATTTTATATTTCGATTGTAATAAAAAGTTTTTACGCGCACTTATTAAAGTGAAATTTACTTTAATTTATTTTATGATTTTTAAAATAAAAAAGGTAAGTTATACTATAATAATATATATACTATAAATATATACTATAATAATCATAGTTTTCATATATTAATGAAGATTTAAAATATTCATATCTTTATTTATAATAAAAAAATAAAATAAGAGAAAATGAAATGATAAATTGAAATATGAGATATTTGACTAATAATAGCAATATAATTAAAATTTTTTGAAGATTTTAAAAATAAGTTATAAAGTTATATAAAGATATTAAAGATAAGTTATATAGTTATATATTGTGCCATCATATTAATTATGAGTGATTGTATAAGATTCAGAATTTACATATGCAGTTATTACAAAACAAGATAAATTGTTCGTTTAATTGTGATTATTTTATTATATTTGATGTCTATTATTTATTATGTTTGTACATTAATAAAAACTTTTTATTAAAACTTTAACTTTTCATGATTTATTTCTTTCAATAGTAACAATACTCTTTTCAATAGTAATAATGTCTCATACTATTACTATTACATATGAAATTATATTTAATCGGATTTTGTTTTTATTTATAAAAGTAAAATTAAAAGTGTAAAGTCTATAATATTTATGTTTATGTAACATATATTATATAAAATTCCTCAAACTTTTGATTTTTTATTTATTACTATTCTGAGGTTTTTTTATATTAAAAGATAAAACGAATATCCCATATTTGTATTTTTTCCTATACTTGTAATAATATTCGTAATAGATAAATATAAAAAAATATATTCATATATTTAAATATTTATTATTACTTTATTTTGAAAAATTATTTCTGATTCTACTTCTACGATGTCACGATATTAACAACATATATTTTTTTTAACATTTAATTCAAAGATACAAGTTCAACCAGTTTCTATTGATAACCTCAAATATGGATAATAAATGTTCTTATCAATCTAGATTTAAAATTTTTTATCGTCTTTAACGATTGCTTTTGTAGTTTTGCTCAATAATATATGATTTAATGATTCATGGTCGTTCTTAAAGCAGGTGTTCATTGAAGAAATAATGAGTGGGGATATGTTTAACAGAATCATCTCTTTTTATATGAACATTTTAACTTACATCCAGTCACTTAGTCAATACCTATGACTTCAAGAACGTGTACGCGATATTCAATCCTTTCACTTTCCAAGTTCTTTATTTACGACATAATATTTATCTATAACTTTTGATTCAATCATTATTTCATCTGTGCATATAGCAAACTTTTTTTTGATTTATAACTATTGCAATTTTTATAATTTATAAAAAAAAATTATAATAATTTTATATAATTTTATTATTAATATATAATTTATATAATTTTAATATTAATATAATTAATATAATTATAATAATTTTATTTCAAAATTTGACTTAAAAGATTATT